ACGTCGCAAGGGTTTCGAGGGGACAGCCTCAGCATTCGCTTTTGCATCACTCGTACTGACAGGTTCTGGAACTTTTCTGCCACTAGCAGACTGTTGACTCTCTATAGGGTTGCCGTTACGGAAAAACCAGCTGAATGTCTCATCTCCACTATAAGGTTTTAGCCGGTTAACGTGCACGACCTTCCGTTTGGACTGCGGAGTCTTCCGGATCCATACTACAATGTCATTGATTCGTTTTACAACAACATATGGTCCATCCCAATTGTCCGCCCCAATCTTGTTACAGTTGGTTCTGCTCTGGAGTCTGACTGTTCGGCGGGTGCTGGTTTATTCAAGGGTTTGGTTGCTGGTTTAGTCAAGGGTTTGGTTGCTGGTTTTACTGACTTTCTTAAAACACTTGCTTCACATGGTGAAGGTGATGGGGGTTTTGTCAGTTGTTTATCCTTGGAGGTTGAAGAATCGCTTTGTGTCACGTACGAGTGTCACAAATGTACACAGTTTCAACGATATTTTCTTCCATCTACTTCAACTATATAACTGCGAGGTTTTGATAGGTCTGATACAACTTTACCGGGTTTCCAGTCGCTGCGGGGTTGCTGCGGATGTGCTTTGACTGTAACGGGTTGGCCAACAATAAGCTTCGGTAACGGTTTGGCTTGTCAGTCATGGTAGTGTTTTGCTTTTTTATGTTTATAAACAATCTGTTGTGTAACTGCTGTTTGCACTGTAGATTGGTACATGGCCTGACCGCATGGTAGCATGGATCTTGTGCGACGGGACATGAGTCGTTGTGCTGGTGAGCTGGTTGACCCGGGTGTTGGTGCGTTTCGCCATTCAAGTATTGCTTTCCACATATGTCAGTGCCTTCTTTCTTGGCTCTTGAGATGATGGTTTTCATTATCTTGACAGCTGACTCTGCCTTGCCATTTGACTTTGGATGGTGAGGACTTGATGTGACATGACATATATCCCATGATCCCATAAAATCTTTAAATTCCTGCGAGCTGTAGTTAGTTCCATTGTCTGTCAACAAAACGGCTGGTGCTCCGTGCATGGAAAAAATTGGTTTCATTTGACTGATAAGGGAATGTGCAGACAGATCAGGAAGAGGCGAGACTTCAATGTAATCAGAGTGGAGATCAACTAATACAACATAATGTTCTCCATCAATATCAAAACAGTCACTTGACACTGCTTGCCATGGGAACTGAGGTATGGGAAATGACATCATTGGTTCTTTCTGTTGAGCGGACTGTGTTTCCTGACAAGTAGAGCATCTTGTAACTGCTTTGGTAAGGTCTGTTGTCATTCTAGGCCAGTACATAATCTCTCTTGCTGTGCCTGTAGTGTATTGCATCCCTAAGTGTGAAGTGTGTGCTTGTGTGACCATTTCGGGTCTCATAGTTGTAGGAATGATAACTCTTGTTCCACAATACATTAGTCTGTTTTGTGTCGATAGTTCATCGCGATATGGCCAGTATTCACGAATTTTGTTTTCTGGCGACCCTCCCTTGACAACGTTCATAAGAACCTGGAGGGATGGATCATTCGCTGTTTCTTCTCTAAGTCTGTTGAGTCTTGCATCAGTAACAAAGAGAGAATCCTCCATGTCAATCTCTTGTGGTTTGTTCAAGAAACGCTGCTCTTCCTCTATTTGAAATTTGATAGTCTGCTATATCTTCTTTGATTTGGTTGAGAGGTAGGGATGCTCGTGATAGGGTGTTACTGATGTTCATCTTGGGGCCTGGCTTGTAATGAACATCGACAGAAAATTTCTGTAGCCTCAACCACATTCGTTGGAGACATTTGGGACTTACAAGGATAGGTTTTTTTAAGTTGGCCACCAGCGGCTTGTGGTCTGTAAGAACTGTGACTTTTGCTTTGCCAAGAATGTACTGCTCAAACCGTTCAGTAGCAAAGACTATGGATAAACACTCCTTTTCAATCTGTGCATAATTACGCTCCGTTTGGTTGAGCGCTCTGGATGCATAGGCAATGGGGTGACCTTCTTGTGTGATGACTGCACCAAGACCAACTTCTAAACTATCACTTTCGATTGCCATCTCTTTGCTCACATTGTAGTAGTGAAGTACGGGTGTTGTTGTGATCAACTCTTTGATTTCGGGGAAGGCTCTGGCGTGCTGTGGTAGCCAATCAAAAACAGAGTCTTTGTCGGTAAGGCGCCATAGAGGTTCTGCTGCTGTACTAAGTTGTGGCAGAAACTTTGTTAGGTAGGTGACTATTCCCAGAAGTCATTGTACACCAGCAATATCACATGGCGGGGGCATCTCAGAAATTGCTTGCACTTTCTATGGATCGACTGAAATTCCTTCAGAACTGAGAGTGTGACCAAGGTAGCACACAACTTGTCCAGCTTGTATTTCAGCTTTTTTTCATTGAGCTTATGGCACCGTTCTCAACACCTTTGCATGAGGGCTGTGAATGCTTCGTCATGACATTTGATGGCTTCTTCCACAGTATCACCGGTACCATAGATGATTATGTTGTCATGGACTGCAACTGTATTTGCCAAACCTTCTATGCACTCATCAATCCTGCGTTGGAACTCTTCTGGTGCAGATTTGATGCCCAAAGGCATCCCTAGCCCTAACTAGGGCTCTGGTCCTTTGGTGGATTTTTTCCCAATCATCCCCTAAGCGTTCCTGAACATGTTTTCGGTCGAAACTTCGGGTGCAGATTCAGGGGGGGGTGGGGACTAACATATCCCGGGGGGGGTGACCAAAAAAAATTTTTTTCTTCTGTCAACCTCCAAAGTTAAAAATCTGAAAAATATTCACGTTTTACCCAAACTTCCGGTAACTTTGTGCGCATGCGTAAGTGGGCGTGGTCTATCCCTGTGCCAATTTTTAAGATGATTGGTTTAAAAAAATGGCGGGAAAATTTAAATTTTCCTCTATTTTTCAACACTTTCAAACCCCTCACCCCACCCATAACAGGGTTAGGGTTGAAAATGCGTGTGTTCGTTGACCTGTCAACATGTTATAATTCAACTAAGTTTTGGCAGAAAAGAACAGAAGGAACTTTGGGAAATGTTGAGAAAGAACGTGAATTTCGACCTTTTCGAAGCTTCCGCATCTCCTTACGTGGACGGTTTTTGAGTTATTGGATCGACTTGAAACTTTGTGCTGTGATACACAAAGGCCTTACCTCTCGTGTGTTCGAGGTTCGTGGAAAAATATTAATCCCCTAATATTTTATAGATTTTTAAAAAGTCATACCTAAAATAATGACACTTTACAAAAAAATCTGGAAAATATTCCCATTTTAACTAAATTGCCCCAAACTTTGCATGCATTTGTAAAATGTTTTGGGCAATATTATTGCCAAGTTTCAAGAGGTTTGTTTAAATGGAAAAGCAAGAATCAAGGTCAGAAAAAATGTCATGAGATGTTGAAAAAACGCCCCCCCTGAAAATCCACTCAAAGACTAACTAAAGTGACGTAGGATAATCAGGGCGTGGTCCTAAACACGTGACAATACCCACTTCCGGTTTTGAGCCTGTTAGAATGATATGTCTAATTAAACACATATCCACTAAAGGACCAAAAAAATCCACGAAAGGACCAAAAAAATCCACCAAAGGACCATGTGTTGTTAAGATTTTATCCGTTCTCAACTAAAGTTGGATGGGGTCATCAGGGCGTTGCCCTGAACACGTGACAACGCCCACTTCTGGTTTCAAGTCTTTTTGACTGATATATGTCATTAAATACATAATTGTGTCAAGCGTTACAAAAATCCACTCAAGAGACAGTTTTCAATCATTTTTTTTATATCAAAAGATTGCATTTCTTTTCCAAATACCCCAATTTCAATAATAACATCAATAAATTATTTACAATTATTTACTACTATTTACTATTTTTACAATTTTTTACAACTATTTATAATTTTTTACAATTATTTACCACTATTTACTATTATTTACAATTTACAATTATTTACAATTTTTACAACTATTTACAATTATTTACAAACTAATAAGAATGAGAGTCTCAAAAACTAAAATTTGAACCAACTATACAATGTTTGAAATTATTTACAATGCCCATGCAGAGATATAGATTCTATTCGTTTTTTTTCTTCCTTGCAAGAGTTTTTCTGATCGCTTTAAATTTGTCCCTGAGGGACTGCCGCGTGTGCTCGGCTAAAAGTGAACTATTAGCAACAAGTTTATCCTGAATTAAACAGGTGTAAATTTCGTTCGTGCCAGCATTGTCTGGCAAGCTTTTCGTCGCTTTGTATATGATCATATTTTCTTCTTTCGAGTATTAACGACTTGCAATTTTTGATAAAAGCCTTTTGCCAGGGCTTATCGTTTCCTTCATTAATGCTTGTGCTGGTGTCAGTCCTTCAGACTCCCCCTTTTCGCCCAGCTCAGCAGCCTGTAAGTAAAGGGTTATATATTTTATATTCAGATCTGTGATATTTGTAAGGAAAAAGATTGATTTTATTCTTACCTGATCAGGGAATAATTCCCGAATGAATTGTGGTGATTCCCTGGCTATTTCCATCTGCTACATCAAATGGAAAAGAGTGAAAATTGTGAGACAGCATACTCAAACATGAAATATCACAATATGTTACCTTTGTTGATGAACCAGGATTCCTAAGCATTTCACCATGCTTCCTTTTCTGTCAAATGGGAAAGAGTGAAAATTGTGAGACAGGATAGCAATAAATTAACATAAAGTATCAAAATATTTTACCTTTGCTGACGATCCAGCGCATTCTCTCTGCTTCGTTTTCTGTCAAATGAAAAAGAGTGAAAATTGTGAGACAGCATACTCACACATGAAATATCAGAATATGTTACCTTTGATGATGACCCTGGGCTTTTATTTTCACCATGCTTCCTTTTCTGTCGAATGGGAAAGAGTGAAAATTGTGAGACAGGATAGCAATAAATTAACATGAATATCAGAATATGTTACCTTTGAAGATGAGCCAGGGCTTTTGGAACTTCCATGCTTCCTTTTCTTTTAATGTGGATTAATTGTGAGTGTAAAGAGCGGAAGGGAGAAAGCAGTTAATCCGAATTATCAGTGTACTTTACCATTGATGTTTTGGGCTCTTCTGAGCACTCCGCTGCAGGACAACTAGAGGATTCCTTGCTCTAAACAAGAAAAATTCATATTTGAGAAGGAGCAAATGTTTTTTAACACCCAAGCGATTTCACCTATACTGTGAATTAGATTTTTCTCATTAATGACCCCTACACTATCCCTACATCTAACCTTCCTATTCATCTTTATTGGAAAACAAGAACTTACCTGATTTTCACCCCCTGAAGTTATTTGACGGAGGAACTCTGCCATCTCGCTGTCTACTCGATCAGTGTTCCTCACATCATAATATTGGTCGGCTGTCTTCACGGAGTGAGTCATTTGGGATGCCATCAGCTCCTTGCTAATGGTGCTACCGACTTTCCTGTGGGTGGATATGATCGACTTCCTGAGTCTGGATTGGATCAGGTTCCCTTGAATTTGATCGTTCATGCTCTTCCCCAGGCGTGTAATGGCAGTGCTGATCACGCTTTCGTTCATAGCCTTCCCATTAATCGTAATGAACATTGCTTGCTCAGGTTCAACCCCTGGCTTTGCTGCAACAACGGACTGTTCGTTCGCGTAGACTGGCCGGAGACCTTTGAGGTAAATTTCTGCCATTTCCTTTACATCTTTATGCCAAAACAATTTGGCAGGCCCAATCGATCCAGTTTTGTGTCGTATGGTCTTGGTGCGATACAACTCGTCCTCGCCATCGCCGCTAATCCTCTCTGCCTGCTTGAAATCTTTCACACTCAAGTTCGCAATGGCACCATATCGCTGACCACTCCCCATAGTTACGTGAAGAATTACATAATCCCTCATTCTGGAAAAATCTTTTTGAGAAATGGCTTCAGGCTTTTTTTTAGCGACCTGGAACAACTTTTTTATTTCGTTTGCGACATGCCCATCATTTAAGCTTTTGAACTCCTCAGGAGAAAGAAGCTCTTCTTCACCCTTTTCTTTCACCTCCATCCTCCTTTTTGCTGAGGCGACCTTGTAGTTCGGGGCCCAGGCTTCAACTCTCGCCAACGCTGCTCTGACGAGCTCGAGATCGCGGTTTTCCAATTTAATGAATCGTTTTACAGTCTCTGATCTTGCAAGCAGAAACTGAAAAAACAACTTAAGGGATATTATATAGGCCTTCAAGGTCTGAGGCTTTCGGGGTTTTTCGAGTTTGTCGTTCGCGAGGAAGAAATTGCCTCTGATTACGTCGATGGACCTGTCCTGCCATAATAAGGAAGCGTCATTCGACTTGGGCTTGATTACGTTGATGGACCTGTCCTGCCATAATAAGGAAGCGTCATTCGACTTGGGCTTGATTTCATAGAAGAGCCTACATACGCGTCTCACATGGTCCCGAGCATCAGCATGTTGTCTGCCTTTGCCCTCGAAGCTTTTGAGGTGGTTGTCAAACACTTGAAAGATTTTTAATTGACTGATCGATTTCAGCATGCCATGTGGTGGGTCACCTCTAGGCTTAGGTTGCTGAAACATCACCTCATCCCCTTCGCTGCTGCTTTCTTTTGATGAGGAATCTGATGACAAATCCGCTTCATCACTCTTTCTTTCTTTTGTCTTCTGTTTAACTGGAATCTCCAGATTAGCAGGTCGCATTCTCAATCTTTCTCGTGCCTTGGCTCTTCTGGCAGTTGTTGCATTATTCAAACTACAACATAATAAAATAAAATAAATGTCTGCAAATATCTTTACAGCATACGTATATATACATATGTGTCTATTTACTTTTTTAACCTATATATATGCATTCAAGACACAAACAGGTTCACTAACCATTCGTAGTCGGGATCTGTCTTCTTTATTTTGTGGACATTTCTTAAGTGTTTGTCGACCCGACAGACCATAGCTTGACACCCAGCCACAGGGCATTTAATTGGCAGGTTCCTTTGTGTTACACCCTTCTTCACTGCCCTCGGCTGCTGAGATGAAATAATGTTTGCCTCACTTTTGGAATACTTGTGGTAATTGACCAAGTGCTTCGGCATGTATTTAACCAGCTTGCCGCACTTTGGGCAGGGCTTTTCTTGTCGTTCTTGTGGCTAGGGAAAAATTTGATAGATTTCGAAATTAAAAATTGCCATTTATTTTACATACCCAAACCACAGATTCTTAAAAAACCTAAAATATTAAAAAAAACTAAATAAAAATATCTGCAAAATTGGTGTGGCAGGAAAAACTGTGTATAAATACCATTTTCACTTGCTCCTCCTGCCCTTCTTCCTCACTATTTTCTTCCTCTTGCACCTGTACCACTTCCTTTTCAGCTATATTTGCGAACAGGTCTGGTGAGTCTGGGTGCTCCATCTGTAGAAATCAATCATAAAAAAATTTAATTAAAGATCCAAGTGTGCTTCAAACCGGAAGTGGGCGTGACCTCTGATGGGTGGCTACGCCCTAAGTACCCCACCCAAGTTTTGTCAAAGTCTGTCAAGACTTTTTGACTGATACATGTAATTAAATACATGATCCACTAAAGGACAACTGAAAAGTGATCCACTAAAGGACCAGGAATATCCAATAAAGAACCACCTGTTGTATTAACACTTAAAATTTTATGAAAATTTTATCCATTTTCAACCAAAGTGAGGTGGGGTAATTAAAGAGTGGTCCTAAACATGTGACAACGCCCACTTCCTGTTTGAAGTCTTTTAGACCGATATATAAGTCATTAAATACATGATTGACTAAAGGAAAACTGTGTATAAATACCATTTCAACTTGCTCTTCTTCAATGTCTTCTTCTTCCTCCTGCCCAGCCTGTTCTTCTGCCTCCTCTTCAGCCGGCACCTCTTCAGCCTGCACGTCTTCTTGCTCTTCTTCATTTCCTTCATTTTCCACCTCCTCAGCCTGGTCCTCTCTCTCAACCTGCACCTCTAACTCTTCAGTAACACCCCCCGGGAGCAGCCCTTGTGAGCTTGAGCACTCCATCTGTAGAAATGAATCATAAAAAATATTTAATTAAAAACTTGCATTATTTAATTACAAGCCAGACTCCAAGTGTGCTTAAAACATGAAGTGGGCGTGACTACTGGTAGTTGACCACGCCCTACATACCCCGCCCAAGTTTTGTCAAAGTCAATCAACATACATGTCATTAAATACATAATCCACTAAAGGACCAGAAAAATCCACTAAAGACCCAGGAAATTCCACTAAAGGACCAGAAAAATCCACTAAAGGACCACGTGTCGTTAAGATTTTATCCGTTTTCAACCAAAATTGGGTGGGGCGATTAAGGCGTGGTCCTAAACACGTGACCACGCCCACTTCCGGTTTCAAGTCTTTTATACCGATATATGTCTTTAAATACTTAATCCACTAAAGGACCACTAAAGGATAAGAAATATCGATTAAATGGCAAAATGTCGTTAAGATTTTATCCGTTTTCAACCAAAGTTGGGTGGGGTAAGTAGGGCTTTGTGTTGAACATGTGGCCACACCCAGTTCCGGTTTCAAGTCTTTTATATTTATATATGTCGTTAAATACATAATCCACTAAAGGACCACAAAAATCCACTAAAGGCCCACAAAAATCCACAAAAGGACCAGCGACCGGAAGTGGGCGTGGCAAAAAATCGATGACCACGCCCACATCCCCCCCCGGAATATGGGTGGAGTTGGTAAAATCCCCCTTGAGATACACCCTTCCAAAGTTTTAAAAAAATAAAAAAAAAAACTTAATTAGCTTCTAACTGGACGTGGGCGTAACCCATGGTGGGTGACCACGCCCTACATCCCCCACTTAAGTTTGGTTGAAATCCTTACTAAGCGCTCTGAGATATCACTGTCCGACGTAAACGCCCCATTAAGAATAAAAATCCACTCAAAGACCAGGGAAGGAGGTCCAGGCTTATTAGTGAGATCAGTGGGTGATGATTTGATTGACAACTATTTTGTATTTTTCACTTTCACAATTTCACCAACAATATTGCAAATATTAAACAAATTGCACGTTAAATTTAAATAAAAACATTATCATACACACCTTAAGAGGTCTATCCTTCGATAAGAAAGACTCTAAGGCCCACACAAGCAATTAAAACGACAAATTTCGCGACAATTTCTTTAGAACAGTACAATACAACCTTCTTCCTCGAAACGAACTTTCACTATTGTCTAAATATTGGATACACCAGAATGACATTTTCCACTTAGAAAAACAAAAATCCTTAATATTAAAAAATGAAAAATTTGGACATTTTGACCAATAACTCAAGTTCTAGACACTCCCATGCAATGAAATGCATATCGTTAGATTTGTCTTGGTGAGAGGAATCTTTTGGTAGCTCATACATAGCTGTACATAGCATATTTCTCTTTTAAAAATTGAAATTCTGAGTGTTATTTAATTATCTAAAAATGACCTCTATTGGAGACATTTTCCCTAATATCTCCAGTTCTATACACTCCCCTGCAATGACAGTGCTATCATTAGATTCGTCAAAGTGAGATGAATCTTTTGATACCTCATACATAGCTGTACAATGCATATTTTGTTTTTAACAATTTTGAATTTGAGTGGTATTGGATAATTAGTTATAGTATACACATTTCCACTAATATCTCCAGTTGTATTCACTCCCTTGCAATGAAAGTGGTATCATTAGATTTCTCTTGGTGAGAGGAATCTTTTGATAGCTCATACATGGCTGTACAATGCATATTTCGTTTTTAAAAATTTTGAATTTGAGTGGTATTGGATAATTAGTTATAGTATACACATTTCCACTAATATCTCCAGTTGTATTCACTCCCTTGCAATGAAAGTGGTATCATTAGATTCCTCTTGGTGAGAGGAATCTTTTGATAGCTCATAAATAGCCCTACATAGCATAATTCTTTTTAAAAAGTTGAAATTATGAGTGTTTTTTAATTATCTAAAAATGACCTCTGTTGGAGACATTTTCCCTAATATCTCCAGTTCTATACATGCACTTGCAATGAAACGCCTATCATTAGATTTGTCTTTGTGAGAGGAATGTTTTGATAGCTCATACATAGCTGTACATAGCATATTTCTCTTTTAACAATTGAAATTCTGAGTGTTATTTAATTATCTCAAAATGACCTATTTTGGAGACATTTCCACTAATATCTCTAGTTCTATACATGCACCTGCAATAAAACACCTATCATTAGATTTGTCTTGGTGAGAGAAATCTTTTGATACCTTATACATACCTCTACGTAGCATATTTCTTTTTTAAAAATTTTTAATATGAGGGTTGTTGAATAATTAATTAGAGTATAGACATTTCCGCTAATATCTCCAGTTCTATACATTCGCCTGCAATGAAATGCCTATCATTAGATTTGTCTTGGTGAGAGGAATCTTTTGATAGCTCATACATAGCTGTACATAGCATATTTCTCTTTTAACAATTGAAATTCTAAGTGTTATTTAATTATCTCAAAATGACCTATTTTGGAGACATTTCCACTAATATCTCTAGTTCTATACATGCACCTGCAATGAAACACCTATCATTAGATTTGTCTTGGTGAGAGAAATCTTTTGATACCTCATACATACCTCTACGTAGCATATTTCTCTTTTAAAAATTTTTAATATGAGGGTTGTTGAATAATTAATTAGAGTATAGACATTTCCGCTAATATCTCCAGTTCTATACATTCCCTTGCAATGACAGTGCTATCGTTAGATTTGTCTTGGTGAGAAGAATCTTTTGATAGCTCATACATAGCTGTACATAGCATATTTCTTTTTTAAAAATTTTGAATATGAGTGATGTTGAATAATTGATTAGAGTATAGACATTTCCACTAATATCTCCAGTTCTATACATGCCCTTGCAATGAAACGCCTATCATTAGATTTGTCTTGGTGAGAGGAATCTTTTGATATGCTACACATGCCTATAAAAAGCATGTCCTTGGTGATATCAAGAAAAAATCCACTAAAGGACCGGAGATATCAATTAAACGACCATGTGTCATTAAGATTTTATCCCATTCTAACCGAAGTAAGGTTGGGTAATTAGGACGTTACCCTTAACACGTGACCACTTCCGGTTTCGAGTTTTTTAGACTGATATATGTGTCTAAATACATATCCACTAAAGGACCAGAAAAATCCACTAAAGGACCAGCAAATCCACCAAAGGACCAGAAAAATCCACAAAAGGACAACCTGTATTTTAGAGATTATATTTCATCAAGAATTCATCCATTTTCAACCAAAGTTGGGTGGGA